TTAAAACTTCAAGAAAGCACATTGAACTGATGTTTCTTCCAAGTCTATGCAAAAATTTTGACAATAATGTCTGACTGTAAGACTAACCAAAACAGAGAAGTCTTCTTTTGAGTTTCAGAAGCATGACGAATTCATTACAGCAAACAGGGCTAAAGTCAATTGTTGATCCAAATAAGACACTCAACTCAATTTCCTTTTAGCTATGCTTTCAAAAATGCCATAGATGATCAACCTCCATATCTATCATCAATAGCAATAAAACTAAATTCATGTATCTTAAGTGAAGAATAAAATATTTCACTTCTTTCAAAACCAAAAATTAACATAAGCACACATGGACCAAAACAAGAGTTATTGTGTCATTTTTTGGAGTCATTTAAAGGAAATGTACCATCATAGGCTTCTCGAACCATGTGATAGTTCACAAATCCAGAGAAAAGAGTGAGCTGCAACCACAACCACCCACTAGCAAGTCATATAATTCAAATATAATTTCCCAAGTAGCACTTTAAATATAAAAAAATCAATAAATGCTTCCATAAAGCTGGAAAGAATTTATACATTGCATTAATGCAGTCCATTCTACCCTACACAAGTATTCTCATAATTTCTCCACATAATGAGAAATACTTTAAAAACATCAAAGGCACTAAAACCATATGCAACAAAAAGAATGATTTCTTTGAAGTTCTCTGCATTTTTCATGTAAAAGCACTAGTAGGAAAACACATGTTGAATCTCCTAAATTAGTTACTAATTTTTGTATGTTGTCAATAAGAAATCAAACCATCAAAAAATCAAATCTCAAGTTTCTCACAAATGTACATTCTGTCAAAAGAATTAATACCTTTCATCTTCTTGATCAAACGTACATTCCTTTTTTTAAAAGAAAAAGGATAATATAGTTTGTGCATTTGTTTGAAGCAACAAAGCATTTAAGCATCTCTAGAATACTGAAGCATTAGCTAAGCACTAAAAAAATTGCAAATTATGGAACTGACACAAAAGCTGAAGAATTGACAAAACCTTGCTATTTGTCGTCTTTCGAGAATTAGTATCAGTTTCCAAAGGTGAACTAGAACTGCTACCATGAGACGATTTTTCATCAGGAAATGCTGCTCCTTCATGTGCGTTCAGAAGCACACAGTAGCAATGGTCTGTCTCTGTTAAAACCTACAGCATTAAAAGGGAAAAGATTCATTTCAAAAACCATTTAATTGTAAATAAGGTAAGTGAAAACAACAGTTTGTTTCCTTTGGGTTCATGAACAAAAATAGAAAAAGAATTGCCTGTTATATATATTTTCTTTGAAAGAGAGAATTGCCTGTTATATATATTTTCTTTGAAAAAGAGAATTGCCTGTTATAAATAGAATCCAGATCAGAGATAGAGATGCGCAGATATGAATCCAAAGCCTTACAACCAAAAGGGAAATAGCAGAAGACATCTAGAGTTTCTAAAAGTTGAAAAGCATATTCAATTCAAAAGCTTGGTTACTTCATATTAATAGATTAAGTGCTACAAAGAAACAGAAAAAAAGGAACTCTAGTTCATTATATATTCCCACTAGATTATGCATATTGATGACTATCCAGCACATGGTTTACTAAAAACTCAAGTAAACCTAAACATTCAACAAATCAAACTAACAAGTTGCATCATTAACCATAAATCAACATATTAACCCCTCTCCAACCAAAACTCTGGGAAAATAAAGCAAAGAATAAAGAAAGATGAAGGACCAAATTTACCACAGCATCAAAAGTTGAGTCAAAATCGTCTACAGCGAAACAAATATCTGGGTAGGCAGGTGTTGTCTCTACTTCCTGGAGACATGATATTAGCTGCAGTGTTAGACTGAAAAACTCAAGCTGAGAAAATTTCCTTAAGTCTTGACAATAAACTCGCCTTCTTCGAATCCAAATGAAAGTTTACACGGCTTGGTGATGCATAGACAGTCTTTACAATCTGCAGAGATTTAACAGGTCATGCTAGAGATAGATTATTACACAAACAGATTCCTGTTTGTCATAACCGTGATTAAATTAGTATCAAGAAAAAACAAATTTTGCGGTCCCAATTTAGCTACAATTTATCTGATAATTTTGTAAAACAAATACAGAGCTGTAAATAATAACAACTAATTAAGAAGTTGTTACAAACATATTGGTTACCCTCAACTAGATCAGTGATCACCTTGTATATAGGAGACAGTGATGTAGCTTGATCGGCTTGATAATTTTGAAGGACCTCATGGCTGGAAAAACCGAAGATCTTTTGAATATCAAACTATTGAACAGCGTTCCTTAGAAAAATAAC